CTGTGTGGGCGCTGCGGCCTCCGGGAGGGCGGGAGCGGAAGCCCGGTCTCCGAGCCTCGGCTCCGTGATCTTTTATCCGGGTCTCGCACTGGGCATCATCCAAAGGCTCCAACTTGGACCTTCTTTGATGTGCTTGTTTTAAAAATAAAATTTATTTTATCCCATCCCTCCTCAGACCCACTCCCCTCCCTGTTTAAAAAAATTGTGGGCGCTGCGGCCTCCGGGAGGGCGGGAGCGGAAGCCCGGTCTCCGAGCCTCGGCTCCGTGATCTTTTATCCGGGTCTCGCACTGGGCATCATCCAAAGGCTCCAACTTGGACCTTCTTTGATGTGCTTGTTTTAAAAATAAAATTTATTTTATCCCATCCCTCCTCAGACCCACTCCCCTCCCTGTTTAAAAAAATTTTCCCCCTATATTCAGTTTCTCACACGAGAGAAACAATGAGGTATTTAAACATCTGTGTCTGATTTATTTCACGTAGGAGCATGGTCTGAAGGTGCATCCATTTAGCTAAAAATGTCTGAAGCTCATCCTTCTTTATAGCAGAGTAATACTCCACTATCTATCTATCATCCATCTATCTATCTATCTATCTATCATCATCTATCTCCCGCATCTTCTTTATTCACTCGTCAGTTGATGGGCACTTGGGCGGTTACAAACTGCACTGCTATGAATACGGGTGCGCATATATCGCTGGGGTAGGATGCTTTTTATTCTTTCGGGAAGTTACCAAGAAGGGGAATGAATAGCTGGATCAAATGGAACCTCTGGTTTTAGCTTTTTGAGGAATCTCCACACTGACTTCCACGGTGGCTCACCAGTCTGCACTCCAAGCAGCAGTGGAGCAGGGTTCCTTTTCCCCCCACAGCCCCTCCAGCATTTATCGGCTGATTTCTTTATAGCAGCCATTCTTTCTGGAGTGAGACGGAATCAGCATTGTTTTCATTTGCATCTCTCGAATAACCAGTGATGCTGAACATTTTCTTATATATTTATTTGCAATTTCTAATTATCTGAGAAGAATCTTTTTATTTCAGATGCCCATTTTTACAATGGATTTTTAAATTTGGGGGTCTGAGTTTTTTAGTTCTTTGTATATTTTAGATAATAGTCCTTTATTTTAATAGCTGGTAAAAATTTTTTCCATGCTGTGGGTTGTCTCTTCACTCTGTTGGTGCAAAAGCTTTTGCTTTATTCTTAACGCCGGTGGGTCAGTCTGGGACTTCTCCACAAAGAGACTGACCTCACAAAGGCTTTTTAATAAAATGAGGTGCAAGTTGTTCATTCTTTATAGTATCTCCCGTGCACTCTGGGCTTTGTTCTTGAAGTCTTTGCCTACTCCTGTGTCCTCTGAGTGCTACCTATTCTCTCTTCCAGCAGATTTACTGTTTCTGTTTTAATATTTAGGTCTTTGATCCATTTCACTTTTAGGTTAGTGTGTGTTGAAAGGTACGAGTCTAGTTTCAATGTTCGGCATGTATAAAGCCAGTTTTCCAGCATCACTTAGTAAAGAGGCTTTCTTCCAGTGAAGGTGTTTGGCTCCTTTGTCAAAGATAAGGTGGCTGGAGTTTGTTTGGAGTTGTTTCTGCATCTTCTAGTCTGTTTTGTTGATCCTCAGGTCTGTTGTTTTTGTTTTTTTTTTTTTTTTTTTTTTTTTTTTTTTTTAATCACAGTAGCTTTGTAGTATAATTTCAATTCAGGGATTGTGATACCCCCTGCCTTACCTTTGTTGCCCATAATTCCCTTTGCTATTCTAGGTCTCTTCTTGTTCCAAATGAATTTTAGGATTTTATTTTTCTAATTCTGTGAGATACGCTGTTGGGATTTTTGTTTGTCTGTTTGTCTGTTGTGTTTTGGGACAGAGCCTCACTAGGTAGTTGAGACTGACCTGGAACTCACTATGTAGCCCAGGCTGGTCTCAAACTCACAGTGATCCTCCTGCCTCAGCCTCCTGAGGCTGGGATTACAGACATGTGCCACCATGCCCAGCTGCTGTTGGGATTTTGATTGTGAGTGCATTGAATCTGTATAACAATTTTGGAAGTAGGGCCATTTTCACTATCTTCGTTGTTCCCATTCAATACCAAGGGCTATCTTTCCATTTTCTGATGTCCTCTTCAAACTCCTTTTTCAGAGTGCTAAAGTTTTCACTGTAGAAATTTTTACTTCCTTCATTAGATTGATTCCTAGGTATTTCATTTTTTCTGATGCTACTGTGAAAGGGATTGTTTCTCTAATTTCTCTCTGTGTGAGTCTGTTATCTGTGTACAGGAAAGCTATTGACTTTTGAGTGTTGACTTTGTATCCAGCTATGCCACTGAATTTGGTTATCAAATCTAAAAGTCGTCTGGGGAGTTTTGGAGGTCTTTTGTGGAGTATCATGTCATCCGCAAATAATAACGTAACTTCTTGATTTCCTATCTTTTTTCCTTTTATTTTTTTCTCTTGTCTAATTGCTCTGGCTAATGTTTCTAGAACTATATTGAACAGGAGTGGTG